CCCTCGGGTTGCCAAGCCGCCCAGCTCCCAGTTCCACAGTGAGCGCCTGGCAGAGCCCGGGGAAGCGCTTAAAAACAGCAGCGCAGGAGGGACACAGTTCTAGTGAACGGGGCAGAACTGGACCCCAGTTTGCTCGGCAGCTTCCCTCCAGCCCCCTGCGACACCTCCTTCACTTCATTTCATTCGGCTTAAGGTCACATGAAGAAAACGAGCAGGCAGAGGCGATAAATCATCTCGAAAGCCTGGCTGAGGCAGGCGCGACGGCAGCGTCGGGAAGGGAAAGGCAAGGGAGGGCTGCGCTCGGCAGGGCCGGGAGGCGGCAGCTCAGTGAGCCCCGGTGTTTAAGAGAGGGGTAGATGTTGTACTTAGGGACATGGTTTAGTGGTGTTGATAGAGCTAGGACAAAGGTTGGCCTCGATGATCTTGAAGGTCTCTTCCAACCGAAGCTGTCCAGTGATTCTGCGATTCTCAGATCTCATGCCGTCCCTCCTGTGATGTCCCTCCCACGGCCCCGCCGTTTCACTGCCCTTCAATGGGAAAAGGCTCCCCCCACCCCCCACTGCCCACCCAGCAACTCCCTCCTCGCTGGGATGGGGCCGGCTCTGCTGCCCGCTGATTTTTGATTGAATCTCACTCTGATTTCCCTGAACATACTTAACCCTTCTTGGCCGTCCCCGGAGTGATGCGACATGCAACTTCTTTTCTGCTTTGCGTGTGGCTGCAGAGCCCCATCCACTACCACACGGACACTTTTCGCTCTCCTTACGGTAAGCAAAGCCACGCACAAGCACACAATTGCCCTGGGACTCCATACCCCAGCCCCAAAAAGTCCAGGGGTGTAAAGCAACCAGAAAGATGGACCTTCATGACCTCCTGCAATCCCAGCTGTCCCAGGGACCCACAGGGATGGGCACTGACAGGAGCAGGGAGCTGACAGAAGCCCCAGGCATGGCAAGGGGCGGCAGGAGACCATCCCTCGAAGGATGGAGCTGAGACAGCGAGTAAGACAGGCAGGTGAAAGAATTTAAACAACCCAGGGCTCTCCATCACGCTGCCAGCAACTGTGGGCCCGCAGGGAGCGGCTCAGCTGTGGCCCCCCGCCCGGTGAAGCTGCTCTCCCCCCACCCACCAAGGCAGGGCGAGCGCCCGGGCACCTACTGTTCGTCTTGAGCCTGGCGGGTTCGCTGTTCCGGCTGCCCGCCTGGTTTATGGCCTTGACGAGGAAGATGTAGCGGGTGCCGCTCTGCAGCCCGTGCACCGTGTAGTGGTTCTGCTTGATGTTGGGGACGATCATCCAGCTGTCCATGGAGTTGTAGAGACCTGCGGCACGGGAGAGGGGGGAAAGGTTTATTCACAGGGAAGGACAGGACGCGAAGACCACGCGCTGCTAACGCAGAGCTCGCCGACCACACATCCCCCGGCCTGACCTACCGCCTGCCTGAGAGTGAAGAGCACCTGCAGGAAGATTCCCACAGAAGATAAACCCCAGCAACTGAACGAGCCTTTTTCATTACCACAGGAAGGCAACGCCAGGGGTGGGGCGCTGGCACCTCAAGATGCCGCTGTGAGAAACGACGGGGAAAGGGTGCAGAGAAAGAGGAATTCACCCGGTGGCACCTTCCAGCCAGGGCAGACGGCACAGGCAGGTGCCGGGGGCCAGCAGAAGGGGATGCCCACCACCATCTCTCTCGTTTCTTCACTCCTGCAGCACAACCTCCCTGCTGCTCCATGCAATGCTGGCAGCGGAAGGGACACGTCTGCACCCTGATCCTCCTGCACGGCGCTCAGTGCCCCAGGGAGGGAAGCAATAATCCACGTCCAGGGGACACCGACGCTTCAGCTCCCTGTGCAGACTGCAAACTGGTCCAAAGGAAATTACAGCGAAGGGAAAACACTGAAGAGCCTAAACTCTCTCTGAAAATGGAAAGCGATCAGGAGCCCAAAGAACTTGGGGGTGCTAAGCCCTAATGCTGCAGTGGTTTGTGCTGCCAGAGCCGCAGGGCCCGGCATGCACTGAAAACACAGCACCTACACTACCTAAGGTGGGGCGACACAGCGCCCCAGGAGAGGAGAAAAGCCCCACACGGTGCCACAGGGGCCGTGACTGCCACTGGCACGGCTGGGGCGAGAATAACCTGCTGGCTGCCCAGGTACCTCCAGCAGCCGGCGCTGGGGGGAAGGGATGCTGCGGATTTCGGGAGCAACCTCCAGCGCTGGCACCACGGGGTCGTGGGCAGCGAGCGCCCAGGACCATCCCCTGCAGCACCCAGCAGCTCCGGGCTCTCAGCAACGGCTTCGGGGCAGCCCCACACCACGGGACAGCAGCTTTACACGGGAAGAATAAGGAGGGAGCTCGGAAGCAGCAGCCGGAGGCTTCTCGGACCCAGCGGGTCTGGAGGCGAAGGGCGAGACGGTGCGTGAGGAGGTTGTGAATTCAGGGTGAGCGGAGGAGGGTTCTGGTCTCCTGTCACCAGCATACGGGTGCACGGCTGGAAGGCAGAGGCCTGGAAAACGCCCCACACCTTCTCATCTAAGGCTTACAGCGGGCTGTTTATTTATCTCTGGTGACTTGCTCGGCCGGAGGACAAGGGCAGCTGCAGTCCTCGTCAGCCTGGATTTGGTTTAAAATAAACGTGGAAATGGCCTAGGGGAGCAGAGCAATGGTATTTGAAGTAGAAAATAAACCAGATGTGATACCGATTGCATCCTACAGGCAGAGCTGCTTTCATGGGAGCACACAGCTTTCGGCCAAGCGCTGGTAGGTGTCACCTCCCTGCAGGCAAGGACCAGCTTTGGATCCTTCCTCGAAAGGACAAGACGACACTCCGGGAACGATCTGGCCTCCAAAGCAGGTTTCCTTCCCAGAACTACCAAGAAGGGGCTGGCCTTGAAGACTGAGGGCCTCTGTCCTTGCCAAAGCTTAAAAAAAATCCTTTTTATTGGCGCTTTCGTCATCCATAAAGATGTCCAGCTCCTGCCGAGCTCTTGGCTTTAAAGAGAGCGTGAAGGGGATGGTTTCCACGGGCCAACTCTGTGCTCTTTGAAAAGGTATTTCCTTTCGTGGGAAGCCTCCTCCTGCTCCTGCTAGGTGAGCCCCAGCGCTCCACGTCCAGGGTCTCTTCATGCACGAGTTCAGCCAGGACTCAAACGCTCTCATTGCCCGGACCCGACTGTGTCCTTTCAAGTGACAATATATCATTCACTTTCTCCTCCGAGACGTTAACTGATGTTTTCTTTACTCCTTCTATGACGAGCTGCCAGAGACGGCCAAGGAAGACACTCCTGACGTGTGCCCCCCGGGCTTTCTTCCAGAGCTGCCCTTGCCGTCCATCTCCGTGCCGTTTCCACAGCCCCCACCTTCCTAACGCCTCTGCCAAACCCGCACAGCCCCCGAGGGTGGGGAGGTGACTAATCCCCCAGCCCCTCCACGGACTGGAGTCCAAGCCACGTGCCCAAACCGGCCTATGGGGAGAGGTGGGGGCCAGACCCTTCCCTGAGGGGCCCTGGCACAGCCCCAGCACGAGGGCACCAGTTCCAGCAGGGAAATCCCGGTTAGATAAGGAAAATGTTCTTCTAGCTGAGGGCGGGGAAGCACCGGAGCAGGGCCCCGCGAGCGGGGGAGACGGTCACTGCTTGAGAAGCGAGCCTTGAGCAACCTGCCCGAGCTCTAAGGCAGCCCGGCTCGCGCAGCGTCGGTGCAAGGACCTTCAGGTGTCCCTCCCACCTACACACCTCGGTGGTGCCAGCACGGGCCACGATTCCTCCTCAGCTGGCGGGCAGAGGGGAGATGGAGGCTGGTGGCCACCTAAGAACAGAGCCAAAGAGGTTGCTGAGCTCTCCCAGGCTTTCAGAGAGGAACCAAATGCTGGAGACAACGCGTGGTGGCTGGGGGAGGAGAGCTGAGCAGGGGAAATGGAGCTGCTGTAGCGCCGGGCAGCCGTAACCAACCTCTGATCGAGAGGAAATAAATCATCTTGTTTTCCAAAGCGAGGGCAAAGGCTGCGAGTTCAATCAGCTTCGAAAGACACGCGCGGTAACTTTCTCCGGCAGCTTCCTGCACGTTCCAGAGGGCGCGGGCCAGCCTTCCTGCGCTGCGACACGGCGCGCCCAGCGCCCACGTCTTCCTGGCCCGCGAGGTGACCGCGCAGCGGCCCGCAGGGTCCGCTCCGAAGCGTTCTGTCAGCCCTTCCTACAGCAGCCAGGGCCACTAAGGAAAACCGGGAATGAAACCGCCTTGCAGGACCGTGCCGCGGGGATGCCGTGCTCCTCCAAAGTGCCGCTTCAGGACTAACTGGACTAACTGGAAGCGGTATTTTTGTTCTCCCCTTACAACACCCAAGTTGTTTCCTCATACGAACAAGCAGTTTCCCTGGACTCTCTCCTATAACGCCGTCCACAAGTCAACTTTCCTCCAGAATGCAAACCCCCTCTGATTTCAGGAAAAAGGCAGCATTACAAGAAATCCTATCAGGCACACTTTTCTGACACCCCGAGGACTCACAGGGCACCCCAAGGAATAAACCACTGCTGCTGAGACTGGCAAGGAGTCCTTGGCTTTACAGCTGAGCGGCTCTTCTTCTCTCTGTGCACCTCCCTGGAAACCCGCAGAACCCCCTTTCCCACGAAGATAACCAACCCAGCTTTTTTCTCTTTTTTACATATAAACCTTCCTGACAATGGACAAGGAGGGAGACTAAACAGCTCCTGCAGATGTGACACATCTGTCCTCAGGGGTGTGGGGGGGTCACACTTTCCCAGCAGCTGTGAGACAGATGAGACCCTCTAATGCACCGATGCTTCGCCGAGCCGGGGGCTGCAGACACCGAGTGCAGGGCAGAACAACTCAGTTACAGACCCCCAGCGTGGGGGTCCTCCACCGCTTTGATGACAGCCCTGAGCCGTGTCCTCAGAGGATCCTTTGTGGCAGTTCCCTCCCCTAATTCCCAGCCTTTAAACCTGCTGACCCTCCCCAAGAACCTTTTTCCTCCCGACCCGGACCACGGTGCCCCGGACCACGGTCCCCCGGAGCGGGCTCGCGCGCAGCCACTTACTGATGAAGTTGGCCTGGCCGGTGAAGATGGTGTACTGCAGCTCGTAGGAGCTGACGCTGAACTCATCCTCCGAGATCCAGTGGACGGTGATGGTGTCGTGGGAGGCCGTGCAGAGCTCCTCCCGGACGGACGGCGGGTTCGGCGCTGCGGGAGATGGTCACAGATCACCTATTTCAGCCAGTTTGTGCTTTCTTAACACATCTGCTCCCCTATGGATGGGGGTGTCCTCGCTTTCAGCCCCCCCTGCTCTCCCAGCACACGGCCCCGTCCGGCAGCAGCGGGTCACGGCAGGGCTGCCCCCAGACACCCCCCATCGCCCCGGACGAGGGCGGGAGCAGCGTTCAGCCTCTGCTACGGGCATCAAGGCAGCACCGAGAGGCCCGAGGTCTCTGCCCACAGGGGTTATCTTTAGCACTGAGAGTCCCACAGAAAGGGAACTGCTAAGGCATGCAGTGCGTTACAAGTACAAAAATCTGTTAATTCACCATTTCCTCCCCATAATCCGCCCTCTTGGGTCCTCACAGGCACCAGCCCCCTCCCCGCGTTGTGGAGATGGAATTTTCGACCCGATCACTGAACTTTGCCACCAGTCCTCCATGAGAGGCAGAGTGCAAGAGGAGGACAGGGACACATCACCGCCCTGGTGACAGCACGGCCTCTGCTCTGCTGCAGCTGACCAGGCACTTTTCACCGGCAAGAACGAGCAGCAGCCCAGCGTGCTCCAAAATCCGCCTGCCAGCCCTCGGCAGGGCACAGGCGAGGGGGCTGCGGGGCGCGTGGTGGGGAGCTCTCACCGGTTAGATAATCCAGCCCCTCCAGCAGCTTCTTCTCTCTGGAAAAATCTAAAGCAAAGTTTTCAAAGGCATCATTAAAATTGATATCTGGTATCAGAACTTGAGAGGATGCAGTTGCCATGGCGACCCTGAAAGAAGAGAAGAGACCATCAATACGCATCGGGGTGCACGATGCTCCCGACGCCCAGCAGCGGGGAAGCAGGGCATTAAAAGGGTGCGAGCAGCCTCACGGCCGTCGGGAAACCAGCACCCGCCTGCTAACCACTGCTCCCGCCCCAGGAGGGTGGCCTGGCCCGGGGGCAGGTCCTCAGAGAGCTGGGGGGGCTCCATCCCTGGGGGCTCCCAGCCCTGGCTGCCCCCCGAGTTCCCTTCAGAGCAGTGTTTCCACCACCTTCCCCCCCTTCCAGGGAACGGTGTTTGCTCCCCCAGTAGGTGTTCGGCTTCCTTAGGAACTGCCATGCAGGGATGGGAACCGGTGACACCCCCAGCCCTGGTGTTTATTTGAGGGCAGAACACTGGAAGGCTGCTGGGGGGAGGATGGGGCGTCCCCGGGCAGGGAGCTGGGAGCAGGGGACAACTCCAGCGACACCCCGCCGGTGTCCCGATCCCGGTGTGCCAGCCCACCTCTCGGCCACGTTCCGGGCTGTCTGCAGGAACCGCGCGTGGTCGTTCTCCTTCAGGATGTGCTCTGCCTGGTTGATGAGGACCGTGGAGCGCTCGAGACACTGCCGGCAGTTGGCGACCTGCTGGGCCAGCTTCCGCAGCTTCATCACCTGCGAGGGGAGCAGAGGGAAGCAGAGGTGCTCAGAAGCTGGCACGTAGCTTGCGAAGCACAGAGGAAACTCCAGCCTCAGCCAGGGGCTGCAAGGAGCGGCGAAACAGCACGGAAACATCCCCAGAGGCTCTGGGGAGGGAGAGCAGCAACACACTTTCCACGTCAAATGCTGCTTGCAGGTGGGGAAGCCCCAGGGAAAAGCCTCCGCGCTGCTCTAAGGGTCCCACGCGTGACGGAAGCAGGAGGGCGACGCATCCTCTCCGCGCTCCTCCCGTGCAAACCCAGTGTCACCCCCCCGCGCCGGCTCTCAGCAGATTCGGCCGGGAGAGGAGCGCTCCCGCAAAGCAATCCAGCGCAGGGCAAGGAAACCTCACGCTGGCTCAGCCCCAGCAGAGCTGCTGGAAAACATCACATTCGCAGCCGCAAATCGTTCTGCGACGAAAGGTGAGGTGCTGCAGTAAGACGAGACACAAGAATCACCCTCCACACAGGGAAGCAGGAGCTGCAGAACCAGCCTGGGCACCAGCCTGCACCCAAAACCAGGATACGGGGCTCAGACGGGCTCTGCTCTGTCCACACAAGCGTCCCGCGAGTCCCACGCAGCCCGTGCTCGGGGCTGAGGCTCGAGGCTCTGCCACGTCCAGCGGAAACTCAGACCTGGCCCGGCCACCGTTCCAAAGGGGACACAGAGCGACTCCAGGGAAAAGCCCCTCTGACACTTCGGCCCTTTCCCGCAAAGCTCTGCAGAAGGTATTTACTGATGGGTTAAGACACGCACGTGCAGCCACCCCCGGTGCCAACTGCACCCCGGTGCAATTCGGTCGCCCCGGGGCTCAGACCCGGCAGCATCCCCTCATCTCCCAAAAAGTGCAGATGGCACCGAGCCGGGCGTAAGGGCTGGAGACCCAGCAGCGATGGGGGCCTGTTGGAGACCAGGCAGCTTCGCCTGGAAATGGGAAAACTCACACGTGAGCCAGGAGCAGAGCAGGGTGGAGGGAAAAGGGAGGTTACAGAGGAGCCGACACACATTTTTGGGGTAGTTTTCCTGTTTAAGCTGGGAGCACAGGGAGCTTGGGAAAGCCTGGAGCTGGAGGCAGCTGAGGTCAATCCCATGTGTTTAAAACCCGCCGTACCATTGCTCTGGCTGCCTGATGCTTTGCTGGTGCCAGAGACAGTATTTTGATTCGGGAGGAGCAGTCCGGGGTCCTACATCAGCACCACCAAAGACACAGAAGAAAGGAGGCGAATCAGCACACTGGGAACCTCATCGGCAGCCAAGCTGGAAGTAATTCTGCCTCTGGAAAAAGCATCTTGAGAGGGGCAACGAGCACTCGCTAATGAAATATAAATTCCCACTGCCCTGTTCCTGTATGCATCGGCAGCGAAGGACCCTGCAGACACCCAGGGGAGGGGAAAGCAAATTTCAGCAGATGGAGCTGGGCTGGGAGTACCTGAAACAGCAGATTCTGAAACGATAAATCCCACGTCAGACCTCTGCCCTGCGCTCTGCAGCCGCATCCCACACCAGGCTCTCCTGAACGGCATCGCACAAACGTATCTTAAAATGAGAGGAGGGGTCCTGCAGGGGCGCGCCTGGGGCACCAGCCAGAGAGAACCACCTCCTCCGCCTATTCGGCAGACGCTGGCCACCAGGCATCGTGCTGGACTTGCCCCGTGAGAATGCCACAGGAGCCCCACAGCTCTCCCAGCCCACCCCCACAGGGAGCAGCGGGTACGCTGTGCTGCCCGTCCGCGCGCCCTCAGATTAGTTCCTTGTTTCCCTTTTTTAAGGGGGGAGCGGGGCATCTCGCGAGCCTCGCGAAGCCGTCGCGACAG